TCTAGAGATGTACATGGTTTGGGGGCTGGTGGTCAAAAGGGACCCCATTTTATATTACTCAGAGTAATTATACCTTTTTTCTTTTATGTAAAATATAGGAAAACTAGTGCTGTTTATATCTGTGTCTGATGGAGGTATCTAGAAAAGAGTCTTAAGTACTAAGGATAAGGGCTAGTACCTCTGGGGATTGGGGAAGCTTTTTGCTCACAGGACATTATGGTTTTCTAGTCAAATAAAGATTTGAATCAGCCTCAGCCTGTATGTTTATTTTGTGTTTACATTAAATTGCATGGGGAACCAGCCAACATATGTTGGAGTGAGGAACAATTAAAATGAATTCTCCTCTCCAGAGTCAGAGGTTGAGGAGTTTTTGTTTTGCATTAGGAAGATTACAATCTGTGTGTGCTCCCACGCCTTGGGAAGGTGTGTATGTAAACTCTGTTGGCACCAGGGTGTTAAGTATCCTGCCTTGGATTTTACTTGAAGCTCTCTGTGGCTTCATGATTCTGCTCCACAGCTTTTTATGTGAATTCCTGAAACATACCTGTTTCCCTACGTTACTATAGGTGTTTAGCCTCCTTTGCCCTTGGGACAAAATCTCTTTTGTGAGTTCTTTTTAACGTTTGTTTTGTTCAGGATCACTGTCCTGGAGTCCTGCCCCCAGGGGTTGGCAGTCCTCTTTTGTTTGGAGGAGTCACTCTGAAGGTGGGACCCATGGGGGGGCGGGGGCTGCAGTATTTTGAGATGCTAGGTGGGCATGCAGATCATAATGCCCAACAATGGGTTTTTTGTTTGGTTTGGTTTTTTATGAATGCTAACTTTATTTTTACACTTATAGGCTAATGAAAAACCATGAACTAATTATATATATATTTTAAGAAAAAAATCTCAATTGAAAAGTATAACTATATTTACTTATTACTTACAAAATAAAGTTTTGTAAGACACATGAGAACATGTCCAGCATGCATGCTTAAGTAGAATGAATTCAAGACCTAGAGTACACGGTACGTGCACCAAGGCTAGATTATAGTCATGTCATCATCCTCATCCCCACGTTTTCTTTTCAATGCATTTGATGGCTCACTGACAGTATTTTGTGATGAAACCATGTTAGTGGCGATGAGAATATTTTTGGACCCAATTAATGATGGATTAATCAGAACATTCTGAACTGCTGATGTTGCTGGAATTGATGCTTTTACAGCCGGGGGCTGTGAGGTGGGCATCTGCACCGTGAACCTTTGTCCTGTAAGGGACATTGGCGTTCCTATTGTAGTTGAAACAGACATGGGCTGTGGATTGGTGTGCCCAGTGTGGGCGTACTAGGTCTGCCAGTAACAGAAGCAGCACTTAGCCTCGGAACGGTTATTCTTCCTGCGGAAGCAGGGGTCTTTTTCTGTAACGACTTAAGTCTATAATTTGGAGCAGTCAAACAGTACCTATCTGGTGGCAATCTAGGCCCTGAGTATGGTTTGATCAATGGCAAAAGGGTCTGATTTCTTGGCTTTGAGATACCTAGTAAAAAATCTCTTGGGGGAGGAGAGGTAAAAGATTGGTCAGCACGACACTGGATTACCAAACGCACATCATCTGCATCGACAGTTGCTTTCTTGGCATGACTTGAATACATTTTTGCATCATCTAAAATTGGAGTCACATATCGGAAGGCAAACTCCAGCATCTGGTTTATAACTCTCGGCTCATGTTCTGTAATCCCCATACCCTTCCGGATTTGTGCCATCATCTGTACGTCTTTCGGCATGCTCTTGGGAGAAGTCATCTTGCCAGACTCCATGACATCCGGTGATCAAACTCCTTTAGCTAAATCACCCACAGGAATGTATTTCAGTCCTGATCTTGAGGCAAGTTCTTTGCCTAGTGTGCTCTTTCCAACCCCTGGTGTACTGGTGAGCAAGGTGTTTGGCTGCAGCATGGTCTTCACAGATGGCTCTGAGTGTCCCAACTCACACTCCAATGAACGACAGGGAGCCCAACAATGTATTGTCATCTCTGAAACCTATCGGGCAAATGTAACCCGAAAGGCAAATATGAATGACTGGAATCTGCCATGATAATACATGTGATATTAATTAAATGTCAGGTTGAGCATTAGAGCTAATGCAGCAGTTAGGATCAGATTACTTGCAACACACCTGACAAATGGCATCCCTGTGGCTGGTAGTCGATAGTCTAGTAGAAAGATCAGTGAGGGTCCTGTAGTGTAGAGTGACATAGCTTTACGTCTCAGGCCCAAAGGTGCTGAGGTTCTGAGGGCAAAAGGTGAAAGCTTCCGATGTGCAAGAGGGAACACAAGTGAGGAGTGGGAGTGGGTGTTGAAGACGGTGGAGAAGGCAGGCAGCTACTTGTTAGATCTCAGGGGAGAGCTATACCTCGGTCCTTGGCTCTGCGTGTGTGAGAAAGAATTCATGTGGAAGCCTGGTTTTTGATCCAAGTGAGTTTTATGAGAGTTAGAAGAAGTTTCAGGTTTACACAGGCACTGCAGGGCCCGTCATTCCGTGCAGCCTCCCTAGAAGCTGGTCAGAAAGTCATGCGGTCTGCTCAGGGATCCTGTCTTTTTCATTTATTCCGCAGGGAGGCGTGGTGGATGACCCTGGTTGAGCCCATTGGCTGAATTGAATTTACCTGGCCTAGGTGTACCACCCCTTCCTGCCTGGAAGCTCAAACCTCTGAGCATGCATAATGGCTGCCCCAGCCCTTATGCTAGCTACCTAACAATTCCAGAGAAGAATCTTGGTCAAAAGAGGGAAAATGACAACAGAATTTTAAATTCTCATGGACTATAGATTCTCTGGAGTCATGCAGGTGGAATGAACCCCTGAAAGTATTGTCCTGAGATGATACTTAAACCGTAAACCAAAAATATCCTTTGAAGTCACCTTAAAACTGAGCTATATTATTTCCTATGAGCATTGTGCTCGTTTAAGGACTCTATATGAAATTGAATTGACAACAGCAACTGAAAAGATTTAAATAGCACTTTAGAAAGGCAGTAAATTTATACCAATGAGGAACCTCGTAAACTTAGTAAAGATGAATATTTGGGGATATGTATATACATTTCTGAATATAGAAAAGGAGGCAGATACCACCAAGACCTTTCCTCTGAGTCTTTAAATGTTTTTCACCCTCAGTTTTCTTTAGGTCTTTTTTTTTTTTAATCTCCCTTGGTTCAGTCAATTCTGATACTTAGCCCAGGCACCCCATGTACAACAGGAGGAAACACTGCCCAGTCCTGCAGAATCCTCACAGCTGTTATGTTTGTAAGCCCATAGTTGCAGCCACTGTGCCCATCTAATGAGGGTCTCCATACTTTTTGCTGATCTACTTTATCAAGCATGATGCCCTTCTCTGGGGTCTGATCCCTCCTGAGAACATGTTCAAAATACACAAGGCCTTGTCTTTAACACTTGTACTGAGGTGTAATTCACACACCATACGATCTATCAAATTTCATGTTCTATTTACCAGTTTTTATAGAGTTGTGCAATCATCATCACAGTCTAGTTTAGAATATTTTTATTACCTTGAAATGAAGTCCAAGCCTACTAGATAGCTTCTCTTTCCCTCCTCTCCCCCCCTTATCCTCCAAACACCCAGTAATCCACTTTCTGCCCCTCTAGATTTTCCTTTTCTTGATATGTCACATAGATGGAATCGTGTGTGGTCTTTAGAATCTGGCTTCTGTCATCTTTCACTTAGCACAACTTTTCAGTCTTCATCCATGCTGTGTAAAGCTTGCATCTTTATTATTTTGTTTTGGCAGAAAAAAAGTCATCTATTGTATGGCTCAAGTTGTTTAAACTTCTTTAATCATGGGAAAAAACTTTGTAAAATGTATTGTGTGATACTAAGATGATAAGAGGTGTGTGTAAATGTGCAAGGAAGGGTCTTTGTTTCCCCTTTAAGCAGGCTGGTGTTAAGCAACATTTGTGGGCTAAGTAGAAGACAGACATTTTCAGAGCTGAAGGAAGACAGGATGAACCTAGGAACTAGGCCCTTCATGGGACAGATAACAAGAGCGTTGGTCCTAACTTCTTACTTGATGGAAGACGAGGCAGAACATCAAACCCTTGTCCAGATTAAGTTGTGTTTACTCTTTGAGTCAAGGGTTCGGTGGGCTTGAGTGGCACAGGCGCTGTTTGGTAGCCCTCCTTGGCATACATAGCATCTACAAACGGACACTGAGCAAATCGAAGGGACTGGTCAGTGGGACAGTGTTGTTTTACCACTGAGGTAAGAATTAATATCTAATGCAGTGTCAGTTAAGTGCTATGGAGAAACATTTAAATAGAAGGCTTTATGGTTTACCTATAGCAAAAAAACCACAAAGATTACTGTACTACTAGTGTGCCTACACTAAGGAAATTTACCACGCTAAAAAATGAATGATGAAAGGGCAATTATAGTCACAAGTTAGGTGGTAATGCTATTTAAGAATACTTTTTAAAAAAATGTATCCCCAAGCAAATCTTGCTATAGATTTCAGTTAGAACCAGCAGAGAAAATAAGTCAAAACCATTGAAGGTACTGCTTAGAATGTAGAATAAATTCTTTTAAAGTTTGGTCACGATCTATTATAAATTTATTTCATGTACTTTTAATGATTTACTATGTTTTTGGGGGCAGGGAATGCAGAAAACATTTTCAAGGGAATTTCCTTCAAATTTTGGTGTTAAATTGATGAGTGTGTGGGTTTGCTGTCAGTTTCCGTTTTGTTTTGTTCAAGCAAAGTGGGTCCTGGGAGACGCGCACCTGAGTCACCGTGCCATCAAATCAGCTGCGTGCCCACGGCCTCGCTCTTAGCACAGCGCTGTGCGGACTCGGGGGCTCTTGTCCGCACTCTCACAGGCCAAAGCTCCCCTGCGTCTTTGGCTCTTTTTCATCACAATCACCTTGTGATTTGGAAACCTGCTCCTGCCCTTGCGAGCCACTTGGGAATTGCACAATTTATACTTTCTCTCTCCCCCTCCTGATAGGTGCTGGATAGTTTACTAGTCCAGTATGGAGTGGTGGAGAGCTGTGAGCAAGGTACATGTCTTCCAAATTGCTTTCAAATTTGTCAGAGGAAGGAGTAGGAAGAAAACTAACTTTCTTTTCCTTCTTGGCTTTTCTCTTCCTCTAGTGAACACGGAGTCGGAGACTGCAGTTGTCAATGTAACCTATTCCAGTAAGGACCAAGCTAGACAGTAAGCAATCCGCAACTTTGTGTCTATATGTAACCACTAGGTTAAGTGTAGTAACTTATGCTTCATGAATTTTATTATTTAGGGGGAGGGCTGGTAGGTAGCTGAAAGAAAGCACTGTTTTATAAAGTGTGACCCCAAATAATGTCTTTTTAAAGTGTGAATGCCTAGCAAAAGTTTACATTTGTTAGTTTTGCTACATTTTCAATATGTCCTTGATGCCATTAAGGCAATAATATAATAAGAAGTTGAATTACATGCTCTTTGCTGGGAATTCTGCACCTCTGAGTAGTGTTGTTAAATTATATATAAAAACTTCATTTTCCTTATTGGTATGACCCATATATTGCTATTTTTTTCCCTTAGGCTGGTTAAATCAATCATCTTGCTTACTAAGTTTTCTAATGATTACTATTGTCATTTAGGAGTGTGCAGATGTGATGTAATTTGCTTCCAGCTTAGAGGAAAGGCTGTACCAGTGTAATTGACAGACAGAAATTCACACGTCCAACTGTCTCCTGAGGAAGCAACAGTACTGCATGCTTGGGAGTGATCTAATGAACTGACTGAGCACTCCCCGCCACACTGGCATGGAGCTGACTGATTCATAGCGAGGCAGAATGAGTCCCGTGGACAGTGCTTTCCAAAAATCTCCTCAGAATAGCATTCAGGAGGAATGGCACCTGGGGTTCTCGGTCAGCAGACCAACGGGTGCGTCAGCCTCCCTCTCGCAGCACAGGCAGAGATGGACTACTACGGGTAGGAAAAGCTGGAGAGGAAAAACCATACTAGTTGACCTTGGAGTATCCTCCAGGGGCAGGGGAAACCAACTCCTGGACGGACATTTTGTTAGATCCCCTGACGGTGGGGCCTATTCATGGCAGAACTGGGAAAGGGAAGGCAGGGCTGGAAAGGTGATGAAAATTTGCAAAACACAAATGGAAATTAAAAAAAAAACTGGTTTTATTCATATTGTTCAAAAATTTAAAAGATACAGAGATGTGTATACACAGTGCAAATCTTGCACCTGGTTTTGTTCCCCAACTACTGTGTCCACAAGGAGGACGAATGCATGTGAGTATTCTTTCTCCTGTTTACACAGATGTCATGACATTTGAATGTTTTGTTCATGTAACTCTTTCATTACATTTGTGTGGAATATGACTAGATGAGCGAACTTGTTTAGTTAGCCCCAGATTAGATATTCAGATTGTTTACAGACTCATAATTATACATAGTGGCACAATGAATCGCCTTTTACACATGCCATTTGCACGTGTGTGTGTTCCTACAGGATAAATTTCCTGACGTAAAACTACTGAGTTGAGAGGCACAAGAACAAGCAAAACAGTATTACTATGCTGGTTCTAGCTCTTGTATGCACTGCTTTATTCTAAGCAGAAGAGGTTAAAACAATTGTTCGTCTAGTTAGGGAAGGGTACTGTCAGACAAGAAGTCTAATCAAAATGATGGCTTCCAAGGGAGTCTTCTGGACCTGTTAACTTCAGGCAGAGAGATCAAGGTCAGCTCAGATGGTTTGGGGACTCTAAAAGCGTAATCTGATATATTGTTCTTGAAGTCTGCAGGATGGTCATGGGGGTTTTTTATGAAGAAATTGTAATAAAATTGAATCGTTGAGAAAAAAGGGCAGGAACGTTGTGCTGACAAGTTCTTTTGCATCACAACAATGCACCTACCTACCTGCTCACTCTTCAAGGGTAGTCCTAAGGGGATTTCATTGGAAAACCTTAGCCCAGTGGTTCTCAACCTTCCTAATGCCACTACCCTTTAATACAGCTGCTCATGTTGTGGTGACCACCAACCATAAAATTAATTTTTGTTGCTACTCATAACTAATTTTGCTAATGTTATGAATCGGGCAACCCCCGTGAAAGGGTTGTTCGACTCCCAAAGGGGTCGAGACCCACAGGTTGAGAACTGGTGCCTTAACCCATCTACCCTGCAGCCCTGATCTGGCTGCTGCTTTATTGTCCCCAAAGCTCAGCGAGCATTCACAGGTGACTTGTGTAGCTTCAGGATGACCCGGTGTAAATCAGAGTGCAGATCTTTGGGGAGTGGCTAGTGGGGTGGAAAACTCTGTCCTCAGAAGTGTGATATTTTTGTTTTCAGAAAGGTTTCTGTGATTTTTAAATGCATCCTCGTGTGTTAATTTTTAATTTGGTTATATTGTCTGTCTTAGTATGAACTGGTTTAAATTCCCACCAGTGCTGTACGAGTCCATTTCTCCACTCTCTAGAGGCAACACACAGATTCAGCAGACTCTGACGGTCTACTCAGTGAACAGTAACATCACTATTGTCTGTCTGTCTGTCTGTCTGTCTGTCTGTCTGTCTGTCTCTCTCTCTCTCTCAGAGAGAGAATTCCCTACTTTTCCCTTCTGTTTGATTCTTTATCCATTAAAAGGGAGATGTTGGGCAGTATAAGATATGACAAAATAATAATAATTTATAAATTATCAAGGGTTCATGAGGGAGCGGGGAGGGAGGGGTAAAATGAGGAGCTGATACCAAGGGGTCAAGTAGAAAGCAAATGTTATGAGAATGATGATGGCAACAAATGTGCAAATGTGCCTGACACAATGGAGGCTTGGGCGCTCCGTTTGTCCCACACACTTCAGTCTTTACAAAGATCTGTAGTGAATATTTGATAGTTCCCAGCCCAGGTGAATGGAACAGATTATAAACCCCAGCATATTGGAGATTGTCAGAAGACTACTTTAGTTCCCTTGTTTGAAAATTACCCGGCATCCAGTTTTGTAAAGGGGGGGGGAAAAAAGCTCAGTTTCAGGTGTTCAGTTGGGTGGGAGATTGTGTGTTGAAGATGCAACCTATTCAGCTTTGAAGAGGCAGACGATAAAACGAGCAGGGACGGGTTAATCCACATTTACTCTCATTGTCTGGCTGTCTAAAGCATTAGGAGGACAAGCACAACGAGAGTAAAGCTGGTGAAGGTAGAACTATGTGCTGAAAACAATCCTAACACGACAGCAAGCCGAACATGAAGATATTTGTCCAGAAATACTTGGTGTTGGTAGTCAGAGAGTTTCAGGGCCCTAAGGACACCAAAGAGCGAGGGCAAAGATTGCTGTTTTGTAATTTAGATCATCGGGTAACCTAAACAAAGAAATGGAGTCTATCAGTTAATGTTGACTGAGAACTATTGATCAGAAGTGGCCAGAGCATGACAGAAAAGTACCTGTGTCCTTCAGGACGCGCCTCCCCACGATGAAAGAGAACTAGGAAGAAGAGAGTGACCGCTGGATTTTGCTTCCTGTACCCAAGTTGTTACTGGAGATGAATATTGCTGTCCACCACCACCCCTCAATACCACCACACTTGCAAGGAGAATTAGATTGGGTATTTTAAAAGGGAAAAGTCAGTTTTGTGATAACAATGTTGTGAAAATTAGTATCTATTAGCAAAGTTTTCTCATTATTTGGGGAGTATTATTTTTCTTAATTTTTAAAATTGTAAGGCTATGTTTTTACCCTGGAAAAGTTAATTTTCCTTGGGAAGCATTAGATATAATTGAGAAAGCTTTGGAACCTGGAATTCCCCCTTCTAGACTGTAGTTTTAGCATCTCTAAACTTGTCTTCTTAGTTATAAAATGAAGCCTGAAAAGAAATGAATCTATTCATGTATCTATGCATGTATTTATAGAAAAGAGCCTTATGAAAAACCAGCAACTCTTTACCCACTGGTGCTGGGCTGCTTCTGGCCCAGCCTGACTTGGCTTGCAGTGGGGAAGAGTACTCCCTGCAAGCTTGCTCCACAGTGAAGGCCCTGCTCCAGTAAGAACACCTGCTCACCTGAACCACCTTGATGCCCTTACTGACGCCCCTTTCCATTGCCTAGAGGGCCAGGCAGGGCACATCTTCAGGCAGTGAGAACTTAGCTGATAGTCTCCTTGAGCCTCTGAGATGTGCTTCGGAAGGTGCGAGTAGACCAGAGTCCAACTCCGTGGAATGGAGACTCTGTGCCACCATTTCTCCAGCTGTGACTGGTCAGGTAGATTCATTCATCCTGGTGACTGACATGTGTAATACAAGAATATTGGTAGTCCTGAGTTCATGGAGAATTAAGAAAATGCCCCCCAAACACTTGGCATAATATTTGAAGATAGTAAGATCTTCATGTTATTATTTGTACTTTTTTTAAAGGGAGATTTAATATTTAAAGATCTGTGTACTTTCCCCTCCATTAACCCCCCTCCCCCAATCTCCTTGACTGTACTCTGAATCACAGTGTAAGTGTTTTCATTGCTGTTGATAATACCTTGTTACAGTTCGGTAGGCATTCTTTTCAGATGATGAGTGGCCATTGAGCCTGAAGAGGTAGGAAACCTAACTTACAAAGTGTCTGAGTTGCCTTTTGATAGAGCTCTGTGAATGCCACTTAAAGAGGACCCTTCAGTGTGGCAGTGCTTTCAAGACAGAATTTTACTTTGAAGTTCCTGCCACCTTGTGGCTAAAAAAAATTTCCAAGATTAGTAGCACACATAAGGAAATGATCATACATGTGTTTTAACTTTAAGTCTTGCATTTATATCCTGAAGCTTGTATTTAGTGAAGACACATTTTCTTCTTCCGTGGGGCAGGCAAGGCTTAGGTCTCTAGAAAACCTGCTTCCTGGCCTGTTCCTTCATACTCAGATAAGTAGCCACGGAGACATCATCGTTGGCAGATTTGTGTGTGTGACTAAGAAATACCAAAAACCCAAATTCAGTGCCATGAGTCAGTGCTGATTCCTAGCGACCCCCTGTGGGTTGCCGAGACAGTAACTGATGGAGTAGAACGCCCAGGCTTTCTCCCTTAGAGCTGCTGGTGGCTTTGAATTGCTTTCCACGGGGACCATAAGGGGATCATAACCAGGGACCGTGCAGATCACAACCCAACACATAGCCACTATACCACCAGGGCACTAAATAAGAAATAGCCCCTTACGTAGATAATATCTTCTATACGTTCTTTTTTTAGAGTTCT